TTTTTTTGCCTTTTGGAGACAGGGCCTCCTTGTAGCCCCAGCTGGCCTGGAACTTGCTACGTAGACCAGGCTGGATTTGAACTCACAGAGATCTGCCTGCCTCTGCCTCCCTAGTGCTGGGATCAAAGGTATGCACTACCACTCCAGGTTCCAAAACAATTTTTAAAAAATTCAAGAGACATCATGGCACTCCTTTGCATATTATGGTGGCTTAAAGTGTTCTGTATTTCTCACAGTGTCTCTGCTCTTCTCCTTTCATCCTGTCATGCTAGCCTCCTTGCTTTTCTTGACCAGTGCTCCCACATTGGGGCATTTGTACTATGTAGACCAGGCTGGCCTTGAACTTACAGATCAGGCTGCCTCTGCCTCCAGAGTGCTGAGATTAAAGGCACCTGGAACATTTTTAAAATATTGTTATTTTTATGTATGTGTGTGCTCATGTGCATATGTCTGCAGGTGCCTGAGGAAGTCAAAAGAGGGTGTTGGACCCTCTGAAGCTGGAGTTACAGGACGCTGTGAGTTGTCAGATGAGGGTTCTGGAAACTGAATTCTGATCCTTTGCAAGAGTAGCAAGTGCTCTTAACTGCTGAGCAATCTCTCCAGTCCCTATCTGGAGCTCTCTTATACTGGGGTGTGACAGTGTATGCCTATAATTCTAGCACCTGGGAGGCTAAGGCAGGAGAAACCTGGGCTACCTAAGAGATCCTATCAAAACTTCTCAACTAGCCAATGAAATCCCCAAAACTCTCCCTTGAAGATTATAACAGCTTGCTCCATGATTTCATTTCAGTCTTTGCTCAAAAGTAGTTTTAGAAAGTGTGTGGGTGTGTTGGCCTGAGACATAGTCCATTGGTAGAGCACTTAACTAGCATGTGCAAGGCACTGGGTTTGATCTTCAACACTGAATAAAATGAAGAAAATCAATAAAATGAACAAACAAAACCCTCAAGTACTTTGGTGAAGCTGTCTTTGGAATATTCTATTCACCATTTCACTACATGGCACTCAGTAGCATGATATATTTACTCATTCATGTATTTGATTATTCCCTTCACTCCAATTTCCAGAAAAAAAAAATTTTTTGTTCACTGATAGGTATCTAGAGTGCCTAGAAATACTTGTAATAATGTCTGTTGAAGTGGAGACTGGTGACACATGGCTGTGATACCAGTCACTAGGAAGGCTGAGGCAGAAGGATTGAAAATTTGAGGTAGGTCAAGGCTACATGGGGAGTTCCAGGCTGGCTTGGGCACTTGACCCTAGCTCAATGGCAAAACTATAATAATAAGACTGGGTATATAGCTGCAATAAAAAGCTTGCCTTGCACGCTGTAGGTCTTGGGTTCAATCCCCATCGTGAGCGCACACACACTGCAAAAGGAATGAATGGGTAGTCCTCAAGTTTAATGAAATGTCCCAACTGGAGTTTGGAATAGAAACCGGGACCACTCACTAGGCTGCGATGTTCATCTACCAGTACACGTTGAGGGTACTTATGAGATAGTGTGACTTTAGGAGCTGCATAAAGGCCTCGTGCAGGGCGTTCCAGAGTTTTCTCGCGCTTTCCTCAGCTGGGAACCCCGGCCCGCCGCATCTTCAATCCTACATGTCCCCTGCAGTGAGGGATTTGGGATGATCAAAGCACACATCCCATCTAAGGCTGCCCAACTGGCGTTTCACCCACTCCGGCAGCTGCTTCAAAGAACAGGAAACGGAAGTGACGAAAGCCCCAGCTCCCGGAGCCACGCCCCTCGCGCCCTCCGCGAACCGGAGCGTGACGCGAGCCAGGAAGGGGAGGGGGCGGGCGTCCTGCCGGAAGTGGCGGTTTGCTTGGTTGTGGTTTCCGTAGTAGCCCGCGCAGTTTGAGTGTGACAATACCGACCGTCTCAGGGGCGGCCTTCCTCCGTGTCCCCACGGCCAGGGCAGCTCTATTCGGCGAGACCCAGGTTCCGCGCGGCCGTCCGCTCCGTGCTCCCCTCCGTGCAGTCCTCCCAAGCCGCTCCTGCATCCCTCCGCTCATTTCGTGGTCCTCTTGGAAAGTAGTTTCAAACCTTCCTCCCGTCCTTAGTCCTTGCCCTTCTCTTTCCTTCTCCCTGGCAGGAGTCGGATGCCGGGACGTATGGCGCCCCTCAAGAAGCCTCGAAGTACCAAAAAACTGCCCCTGGCTCTAAACCCCACGAAAAGCAAGGACGTTTTGGCAGTGCTGGCTGAGAGGACCCAGGCCATAGTACCAGTTGGGGCATGGGTGGAACCTGCCTCCCCAAACTGCTCCGAAATCCCAGCACACGTGAGTGTCACTTGACCCTTTTTATTGTCCTCTAATTTTTGGTACTTAAAGATGAACAGCTGGAGGATGCTGTTTCTATTAGTTTATATAACTCTTGCATTACGGTTATAGAATAAACATTTGCAAAACTTGCTGCTTTTGTTGGCATAATAAAATATTTCAGTAGTTATTACTCACCTATTGTACAGACCATCATTCATGGGTCACCTTGTGTATTGGTTTACTTCACAAACTTGATTGCTTGCTCTGTGTAAGACATAGGTACTGTGTACATCTTCCAGATACTCTGCACCGTAGAAGGGATGACAGTTGGTCACATTTTAAATGTTACTTATTTAATGTTTATAAATTTTGTACTGAGGATTCAAGAATGGAGTAAGAGAATAACAGAAAAAAATTAATCTTGACAGATTCTGAGAGTTATAAATTTTGTGAGGACAGGGAACTTCATTCCTGTTATATAGTAAGTCTTTGAGGAAGTTTTTTTTTTTTGTCTTTTTGAGACAGGGTCTCCCTGTAGCCTCAGCTGTCCTGGAACTCACTATGTAGACCAGGCTGGCCTTGAACTCACAGAGATCCACCTGCCTCTGCCTCCCGAGTGCTGGGATTAAAGGTGTGTGCCACCTCACCCAGCCGAGGAAGTATTTTTTAAATGAATGAATGCATGCATGAATGAGGACATATGGTCTGTGTTGACCGTGAAAGAATGGAAATACAGTAAATGCAGATGGTAGGTAGGAGCATTTCAGATGAAGGGAAACCCTTGCAAAAGTTTACACATGTGCATGCTTACTCGATGAAATCTCTTGTATCAGTTAGCACATGAGGATTGTTTTGCAAGGTTTTTGATAGTGTTTCACTAAATGGTTCCTTAAGCTATTTGTTCAGATTTTATTGGGGTATTTTCCTCATTGTATTAGAAATTATTGTATACTTTTCTTGATGGAATCTGAGCTCCTTGTGCATAAGAAACAAATCTTGTTTCTATACCCACCTTT